TTTCTTCTCTCTCTCCTCTCTCTCTCATCTCTTCTATTCTCTCCTTCTCTCTCTCTCCATCGTCTCTCTCTTCTCTCGCTTCCTCTCTCGCTCTCTTTCTCTCTCTCTCTCTCTCTCTTCTCTCTCGTTCTCCGCTCTTCCTTCTGTCTGTCGTCTCTCTCTCTCTCTCTCTTCTCTCTCTCTCTCTCGTCTGTCTGTCTGTCTCTCTACTCTCTCTATTTCTCCTCTCTCTCTCTCTGTCTCTCTCACGCGCTCTCATCTCTCTCTCTTTCTCTCTCCTTTTCTCTCTCTCCTCCTCTACTCTCCTCATCTCTCTTCTCTCTCTCTGCCTCTCTCCCTCTCTGGTCGCTCTTTCTTTCTCGCGCTCGCCTCGCTCTCGCGCTTCCCTCTCTCCGCGTCTCTCTCTCGCTCTCACTTTCTCTCTCTCTCTCATCCTGCTCTCTCTCTCTCCTCTCTGTTTTACGGGCGCCCCGTCGCCTTGGCCAAGCTGCGCGTGCTATCATCAGCTCTGCGCTTAAATGTACCGCTTGCAATACGCATGGCGTCGTAAAAGTTTTGTTGGCAGCTCGCCGTTTTTTAGCCTCCGTAGCTCTGGCTTCCTTCCCCATTACACGCGCGCGCGTCGGCGTCTCCACGCGTCCGCGGAACTATGCGCGAGTTTATTTACGTATTTGTCACGGTGGGAATACATTCGGTTCGAGTTTATTTGCGTATTTATTTTCCCGCGTGCGAGATGAACTAAAACAAAAATGCGCGCTTTTCATCAGGCACGCAACAAGTACGCTCGGTGCTGCTCGCGAGATGCAATGCGAAGCTCATTGTGTTAGAAAGCTACGACGGAGCGTGTTGCAGGCCGCGGTGTGGACCGACGCAAACCATCAGATGCCGCCTCTAAGCTACGACGGGGGCGCGGACAAGAAAACAATTGCCGTGGCGCAATTATTACGCAGCCCGCGGCTGAATGAGACTGTCACGTCGCATCGTTTTTAGCCGCAATAAGCAAAATATCTGAAAAATTTCACCGCGGGGCCACGCCGAGTCCGCCCGGGTGTTCTTAAATATACAGCTGTTTCATAATACATTGTAGGGGCCGTTCCGTGTAAGCGATCGTGAGGCCGAGCGAATTTCAGTAAATCTCGGGGAGAGAGAGAGAGAGAGAGAGAGAGAGAGAGAGAGAGAGAGAGAGAGAGAGAGAGAGAGGCAGAGGCACGCGCGCTCCCGGCTAGACGCATTCGTCACGGCCGCGGGGTGGTCGCGAAAAACGAGGTTGCTGCGCCGCCGCGAGTTACGCTGTTTACCTCACGCCTCGGGCCTAAGCAGAATTTTGCCTGCCAGCTTAGTTGTGTTCTGCGTCATCAGCTCTCGGTCTCCTCTCTGCCTTGTCTCAGACATGTTGCTCGTCTGTGAGAGCTCTACGAATGAGTGAGTTCTCCCCCCCCTCCCCGCCACCACGTCCCCGCGTGGAGATAAAAACGTATGTGTACACTAGGCGTTAATAATCCAGTTCAACATTTTCCTATATATAACGCTGTGTAAACACCTTAGCACGCGTCCACTGCAGAATTTTAACCACGTTATCGAATTTTGCTTCAATAGTATTGTCTAGAACACGTGTACAGAATCATAACGTCAGTAACTATGCGCACGTGCCCGCCGATGCTACGTGTAATCAAGATATAGCAAGCATCGAATTCGAGACATTATCTAAAGAGAGAGAGAGAGCCATAAGCAAGCAGTTTTTCGGATTTTGCAACAGCGAGTTTTAAATTAGCGCAATATCTCTTGTCGAATATCTCTTGTCATTTTACTCTCGCGTAAATTCAGTATTCTCTACTCGAGGGTTCATTGTAAATACAGTAGAGTGAGAGAGATCGAACGCTGCGGCAGAACGACGTCAGTTCAAGGGAATTGGACAATTTCGAACGTCTATTATATCGCACGTCGATATATTACATGAAATGAGACAAAGGCAAGAACTGTGCAGGCCAACTAGAACGTGACTTACAAAAAAACATTTTATTGATAATCGAGTAACGCGTAAAGTTTTCTCCATTCGACAAACGAAAGCAAGATAATAGTCATTCGCTGGCGAATTTAATAAAAACACGAACATTCATGACTTTCCATACCCTCCCCCCTTCCCTTCCCTTCCCTCCCCTACCAATAACCTATCAGAGAACCGCGGGTTGATGACGATGCGGAATTTAAAAATGCGATACAAATACGAATTGTCTATAGTCAAGTATTTGTTTTCTTCTTCAGCAGCTCTGTCACCGGTTCCGAGAAGTCGTATATCGCGGGAGCGCTGAGCATCATTCCAAGCGTTCCAATAACGCACGCCGCCGAAAAGAAATAAAGAAAAAGTCTGTCCAGTACCATGGCAATGTATTGCCAGTCTTCCCTCACCTGAAAAAAATAATAACGCATTCGTGGCAGCTTATCAGATTCGATAGAACGAGATATATTTATATCTCTCTCTCTCTGTCTGTCTCATTCGATGGCTGATTTAGTGCCGGATTAGTGTGTTTGCTCGGTTGCCGCGTGTACGTTTTATATGCGCTGGTCTTATTTCCTCCCGATAATAAAAGACAAACGCACACAGTCTCGTCTTGGCGGCCACCAGTGTCGTCTCGCTGTCGCATACTGTCGTGATAGACGCCGTTATTTTGCCGCGTTTGTCTTGATAGCGGCGGAATGCTGTCGGCGCTTGCGAGGGTAGAGCGTGCGATTGAGTGCGACGACAAAATTATATTGATTGCTCGATATTTCGTTGACCGATTAGCGCTTTGCGTCCTATAGCTGTCGACGAAAGTAGAACTGTTGAAGATTGCCACTCTCCGAAATATAGTATTGTCGTCATTGAATGGGAGCGACGGTTGCTGTAAACAACATCCATATAAGTGCGGGTTTTTGATCGCCTAGTGTAAAAGATCGCGAATCGAAATGCGCATGCGCGTGACGAACTATCGAGTTATTGATGTTTTTTTTTTATCTGACAACAGATTCTTTTATTTTAATCTATAAATATTTGCGTGAAATTGCGAGCTTAATTCTAAGAGCAAATGTGAACTCTGACAGACATAACACTAATAAAAATCCGATAAATATGAATGAACACAGCGCCTAATTTTTCTTCAACTATAATTGTATTTTATTTACTGCGCGCCATACACTCAGATTAACATCTAATTTACAGCTGACGTCATCGCTTATTTCCTGCGCTCGTCACATTTTTGTTTGATATGGTACGGTAAAACAGACGCTGTAATATATAAATATCGTATTTTCCGTGTATTTTGCGGTGAATTATTACGTATTAGTATTAATTCAAGTACATCTCGTTAATGAAAGCGAGAACTTTTAACTTACGCCGTGAGCGTGCTTAAAGTTGTGTAGCTAAAGATTGGTTTGGGACTGACGCACACTTTGTTCAAAGCCAAGAGATCTAGATTCTAATAAAAGTCGGGAAGGCAATTATTCCTTATTATGCTAAAACCATAGCACCACAGTTCTCAAATGGCTGCCGTAAATTTAAACCGTAATTCCCTTTGACATCAAGTTTTTGAAAGTTGAAATTTAAATGTTGCATAATTTCCTGGAAAATAATGAATGATTCGTTAGAAGCAATGCATGCATAATTCAACAAGGTCTTAACTGTGATAAAAATCGACTCGTGTGTATTGATTAGTAATTCAGGAGCAGGACTCGACAGCGTTGTATCAACGCCGCGCAGAGAACAACGGGATGCCATCATGCTGATACTATCCATGGGTTTCGTTAGCATATCGTGACAGTGCGCTGAGGCCAGCATTAAGCCGAGTGACGTGTTAAACTACACGTTGTCTTTAATTTTTACTTGTACGCAATGTGTCACGGCGGCCTGAAAGCACGCGGGGCGGTGATGTTAGTCGGCATCAATAAGACAGCGGCGCAGTTGTAATCTGCCGACAAACGTCAATACTAGCGATGGCATGTACGCATGTTGTATGGCATCTGACATTCAAGGATGAGACTCCAGGCTGCGCTCAAACATGGTGGACGCGGTGTGGTCCAAAAGAGCCTAAAATGAGGGACCACCTACGTAATGCAGTGCGCAATAATCAGGGTAATAAACCTAGCAGATGCCCGCCTAATGTTACACGATTATGCACGCATATATAAGTATATATATATACCTATATATATATATATATATATATATATATATATATATATAATAAGAGAGAGAGAGAGAGTAGAGTAGTAATAA